GATACTAAAAAAATAAGTCCGGAACATCTCTGATATGAAGTTGAAAAAAAAAAGCTACATCCTTGCTATCGAGGATTTGAAAGTTGCTGTCTGTCTACCACGGTGCTTCTCAACCTGAGCAACAATGATCTACCGCATTAATTTTCAAGATACATGCTTGTTGCACTTGCTGCATATGAGGATTAAATGTATCTGAAACAGTTTTACAATTTATCAAAGTATCTAAAACAAAAATGCCTTAAAGAGGCATCGGGAGGTCAATTTAAGGCAAGGCGTTCAAACTGAAATCCTCCTGTGTCTGGGCTGCCTGAGGAGCGGTTCATTACCCCGAGAGTTGCAACGCTGAAGCCTCCTTGTGCATGGTTGCGAAGTTCCTAGTGAGTTGAAAATGGAGACTATCCTGATATGCCATTTATGTACATTTATTAAATTTAAAAAAAAGCTACAGTGAAACAAAGCTAGTTGAGAAGCAGGCTGTGAAATAAATCCATTTCACTCAAGCTACTTAACCAGCGGCATTTTTCATTAACCAAAACACCAGTGCTTGGTTTTATTGCTGGGTTAACATGCATCGTGTCCCCTCCAAAGCACCTCCCTGCTCCAGAGCACAAGGGAGGTGAGAGATCCCAGGGACAGGCCTGCTCCACCCAAATGGTCTCGGGATCTCCTTGCATGGAGTGACCAGCCAGGCCCTGCTGTGGCCAGGAGTCCAGTCGGGTTGGGCTCGGACAACCTGCTACACCGCTGTTGCCGGGTTACTCCTCTTCCCTGAGTCCTTCCTGTGCTGTCTGCAGGGCATGCTGGTGACTGCAATGGTGCAGTCAGAGCTTCACCTGGTTTTGATGTATGCACACATATGCTTTGATTGCACTGTTGTGGCGGCCATCTTAACTTTTTTGACCATGTTCTGCAAACATTCTGGTCCTTCCCATGACCCAGGCTGGCCATCTATTTACCGCTCAGTGCCCTATAGTCTTGTAGGATAGTGCCTCAGCACCAACAAACTGTTGTGGCATCGATTGTACATTTTGTGGTATGGCAATGGCAAGTCTGAACGTTCTGTTTTAGGGCTACTATATTTGGCTCGCCAAAATAAAGACATGCCTTGATGGCAGCAGGAGATATTCCACAGAAGACTCTCTCAATGACAACTAGAGGTTTCCAGCCCTTTGCAGCCCAGATATGGTAGCCCTGTGAGACCTGGCATTGCCTCTCATTGCCCATGAAACAAACGCATGAAAGAATGGGACCATCTGGAGATGAAGGTCTTTTACAACAAACTATCTTGGGTAATGTGCTGTTGACATGTTTAAATGTGCCACAAACCCTTGTATTTTTTTTTTTCAAAAGATGAGCCTTGGAAACAATGAAAACTGAATCTTGGTTTGTTTGCACATCTATAGCCTGGTTTGTTTATCTGTTGTGTTCTAAAGAATGAGGTGAGACTGGAGCTATGTATCCATATGCAGACAAATATTGGCATCACTACGAGCACAATCCCCTGTCTCTATTTGGGATGGAGATAACAACAGTATTTACAAATTTTCCATATTTTCTGCCTAGATTTTCCTCAGTATGAAGCCAAGTACCACTAAAGCTGGCTTTTTATATCCTGGGATCCAGCTAAAGAAGATAGACCTTCTAAGGAGCTTGAAAACAGTGTTATCTTTTAGAACTGTTGGGATGCTGTGGGAAGCCATGTTGTGTGAAACAGGCCATCCTGTTAAGCCATCATGTGATGTGTTGGGTGGAGCATCACATATTATATGAACCCAACAGTGTTTTCTTAACATGGATTTCAGATAAGCATGTTAGATGAACCAAGCCATTCTGTGCACAACCTATGGACTTCACCACCACGTGTACCCTTGCAGTTCTGCAACTTGTACATCACATTCAGAGCTGCTTGGCGAAGGAAAAAAACCGAAATTTCCTAAAGCTACAAATTTGATTACACAAATGGTGCTCTGCTGCTGAAAAGACACAGTTGCTTTAAAGAGTGGGAGGTAGGTGCTATCTTCATGCTCTTGTCTCCTTCAAAGCACCTGTCTGGGATCAAATGTAAAGCCTTGTACAACCCTCGTATCTACATTTTGCCTTAGATATTTCCTCTGAGGGAGATTTCTCACTCCACCATAAGATGCACACTGAAACAATAGAGATACCAAGGAAGATCAGACAGTAACAGTACCAATGAAAGAAAAATAACATATCCATCCTCTTGCCATTCATTTTCTAGCCACAACATTTTTTGAGGGATTAAGAACTGCAGTGAGCAGGACAATAGCACAAATGCAGTGGCTTCTCTATGAGTAAACCAGGATTATTAGGGCTATTTTTGAAGAGTGTCCTGAGATTATGCCAGCCTATTTTAGGTCCTACACTATGGTGTTGGGGTGTTTCCTATCTCAAGATGGTGGGAAGCAACATGATTGATACTTTAAAGATCATGGTTGGAGGTCCGCTGGGAGCATCCTGTATTACGGCAAAAGGTCCAAGCAACTTAGTTCATGTTCTTACACAAAAGATTATTGTCAAAATGCAAGAGGGCTGGCAAAACCCCAACTGAAAACTTTTAATTCAGCGTTTATAAAAGTTGGGTGTGTTCCTCTGCAGATCTTTCCCCTGAGAGGAATAAGTGGAAGTTTAAAGGTAAAAATTAAAAACATATGTAGTGAATGCCTTACAGGACACAAGATAATGTTTTAGGCAATGGAAAAGCATTATTTCATCTTGGACCCATAATTCCCAGGGCCCTTTTTAGGGATGATATCAAAGTGGAAAACGATAAGGAGAATTTTAGATTATATTCAAGAAGAGACTAAAACAGCCCTTTCTTGGTTGGCGTCTTCCAGATGTGTGGGATTTCAGTCCCAATATTTCCTCCAACAAGTACGACCAAAGGCCTATGATGATGCAGAGAGAACCATAATCCATCTGAAAGACACTCAGTCAAAAACGATAGGACTACAACGTCAGTTGGGATACAGCATTTGACCCACCTATATTCTGTTACAGTGGAAAAATAAGAAGCAGGGAATAATACCAGAAGAAACTGCATTTGGTCAGAAAACACAGCTACATGACCAGGGCCCAGAGGAACAGGACAGGGCTGAAGTCTAAAACTCTTCTAAAAATGGTTATCTGAATCTTTCCTGGCGTGTTTGTGTTGTTTCCTTGGCAATAGTACAAAAGTAGTTTGCCTTCTGGGTTGTTGTTGCCTTCTCAGTCCAGCCTACAGAACTTTAAGATGTGTGGACTTCAACTCCCAGAGTTGAATTCTGGGAATTGAAGTCCACACATCTTAAAGTTGCCAAAAATTGGAAAACATTGCCATAGAGGGTCTCCCAATCCAAGCCAACCAGGCCTGATCCTGCTTAGTGTCCAAACCCAGCCAAGGGCGGTCTAGGGTAGGACTGCCTTTCCTCCACATGGGGGCTGGAGAACATCAGGATGAAAGAGGCACGGTCAGCAGAAAGATTTCCATGCTCTGGTCATGCAGTTATTTTGTACAGAAATTTCTATTTCATCTTATGTCCCTGTGTGTCCAAGACTGGGTCGTAAGAGGAAAGCTGAGATGGTTGAGTCCAAATACTTATCTATGGCTTTTCTCAGTTCTTCAGTTTTCTGACAGTGCACATGTTGGGTTTGCACAACACACTAAGCTAACATTTACTGTTTCAGCGTGTTGTGCAAACATGGCCATTTTTGTTTTTGGAGAAAGATGGCAGTCTCCTGCATCCCAGCACCTTCCAGAAATTTGGTTATAAAATGGCTGGGGATGATGGGAATTACAGCCAAAGTCTTTGGAGAGCAGGAGGTTAGAGAAGCCTGGCATGAGATGGATAATACTGTTGCTTTAACAGGACCTGGGCATGTTACGGCTGCGATCTCAATTTTAGGCAAGGAAATGGTTGGATCTCATTGATATGAAAACGTGACTCCTTGTATAGTTTGACTACTTTCTTGTAGCAGATTAACCCCTTTTCTGGATTTGCCCAACGCTGAGCCACAAAAAAAATAAAAAAATAAAAATTGGCCTGTTGTACAAATGCAGTTGCTTGGTTTTAAAATGTCAAGCTAGCTTATCATGTTCTGATGGCTGCCATCTTCCAGAGGAGGGGCAGAAAGCTGGTTGCCCTCCAGAATGCCAGCACCCCCACCACCTGAGGATGCTGGGAACTGTAATCCAACACCATATTTGTGTTTCCCACTCCTGTTCTCCAGGTTGTGAAAATTGCCCGATTGTTAACCTGGAGAAAAACCAAGACTTTTTTCTTAGAGGTGCAAATTCTGAGCAGCTCAAAAACAGCTTTCCTATATTGGGGAAATGGATTTGCCCCAAATTTAATTCAATTTTGGCTACAATTCTAAACTCACCTCGCTGGGTATCATAGCAACTGAACGGGAGCTACTTTTGCAGAACATCTACAAGCGTCTCTCTGCCTTTATCCATCACTCCCTGTAGGATGTTCTTTGTTACTTGTAGGTCTGTTCCAAGTTCATGTTATTAAATTTTAAATTATGAATCAATGTGATTGCAATAAATTAATAAGTCACCCACAATATATAAAGACATTTTTATTGCTGATAAAGCTTTTTAAACTTTCCCTCCTCTTTTTCCTACATCAGTAGGACCTTAATCTTTCTGAAGAAAGTTGGGCCATAATATCTCTCATTTTAAAAATAAAATATATATATTTTTATA